GAGGGTGCCCGGGGTTCCTGGGGGTTCCTGGGGGTGCCCGGGGTTCCTGGGCTCTGTCTCACCCATCTCCCTCCGCAGAGGCCTTGGTGAACAGCCAGGAATGGACCCTGGGCCGCTCTATCCCCGAGATCCGCCTGGTGGGTGCCGTGTCCTTGTGTCCCCATGTCCCCATGTCCCTGGATCCCCATGTCCCCTGAGGACTGACCGTGTCCCTGAGTCCCCATGTCCCCATGTCCTTGTGTGCCCATGTCCCCACATCTCCATGTCCCCATGTCCCCATGTTCCCATGTCCTCGTGTGCCCATGTCCCCATGTCCCCACATCTCCATGTCTGCATGTCCCCATGTCCTCGTGTGCCCATGTCCCCTGAGGACCATGTCCCTGTGTCCCCATGTCCCTGTGTCCTCGTGTCCCCTGAGGACCGTGTCACCATGTCCCCTGAGGACCGTGTCCCCAGCCATCCTGACATCCCTGTGCCCACCCAGGGTGTCCTGGGCAGCAGCAAGAGTGGGAAGTCGGCGCTCGTCCATCGGTTCCTCACCGGCTCCTACGTGGGCTTGGAGCCCACTGAGAGTGAGTGGCCATGGGGAGGGCATGGGTGTGGGATGGACCTGACCATGGGATGGACGTGACCATGGGCATGGCATGGACAAATCATGGGCATGGGATGGATGTGACCATGGGATGGACGTGGCCATGGACATGGAATGGACACAACCACAACCATGGGATGGTCACAGCCATGGGCAGGGGATGGACATGACCATGGGCATGAGATGGACAATGTCCATGGGCAGGGGGATGGTTGTGACCATGGTCAGGGGATGGACACACCATGGGCATGGCGTGGATGTGACCATGGGCATGGGATGGACATGACCATGGGATGGACAAAACCATGGGCAAGGGATGGATGTGACCATGGGATGGACATGACCATGGGCAGGGGATGGACATGGGCATGGGATGGACACGATCATGGGCATGGGATGGATGCGACCATGGGATGGATGTGACCATGGGCATGGGATGGACATGACCATGGACATGGAATGGATGTGACCATGGACATATCATGGAGATGGTTTCAGTGATGGAGTGTCCATGGGGATGGAGATGCAGGAGTGGACATATCCATGGAGCTGGGCATGAGATGGATATGTGGTGGGGCTGGGCATGACCAGGGGATGAACATGGTCATGGAATGGGCAAGGTCATGATGCTGGGCATGGATGGGTGTGGAGATGGTGAAGGGGATGGACGTGGCCACAGAACAGGCAAGGTCATGTTGCTGGGCATGACTGAGGGACATTTGGGGTCAAAGCACAGGTCATGGTGCTGGTCATGGCCATGGGAGGTTCCATCCATGTGGGCAGAGCACACCTGCAGGGTCTCCCCCTTCCCCTCCCCACTGCAGGTGGCCAGTTTAAGCGTGAGGTGACAGTTGATGGCCAAAGCCACCTCCTGCTCATCCGGGAGGAGGNCAGGGGCTGGGGATGCCAGGTAGGAGGTGTGGGGGGCACCGGGCATGTGCCAGTGCCACGCCAGGTGCTTGTGCCACGGCGTGCCCCTGTGCCATGTCCTGTCCTCATGCAACACCATGTCCCCATGCCATGCCAGGTGTTTGTGCTGCACGCACTGCGCTCTAGTGCCACCAAACTTGTGCCCGTTGTGTGCCACGTCATGTCCTCGTACCATGTCCTGTCCTTGTGCCACACCATGACCCAGTGCCATGCCTTGTCCTTGTGCCACATACACCAAGCTCTGGTGCCACTGGGCTTGTGCCCATCGTGTGCTGTGCTGTGTCCTAGAGCCATGTCCTGTCCCAGTGCCACACTATGTCCCAGTGCCACACCGTGTCCTCGTGTCATGTCCTGTCCTCATGTCACACCATGTGAAGTATGTTCCCAGTGACACGCTGCCATGCTGTGTCCCAGTGCCATGCTGTGTCCTCCTCATGCCATGCCTCGTTCTTGTGCCACACCATATCCCAGTGCCACACCATGTCCTCGTGCCATGTCCTGTCCTTGTGCCACACCACGTCCCAGTGCCACACCATGTCCCAGTGCCACGCTGTGTCCTCATGCCATGCCTTGTCCTTGTGCCACATGCGCAGCATTCTGGTGCCACTGGACTTGTGCCCGTTGTGTGCCACACCATGTCCTCATGCCATGTCCTGTCCTTGTGCCACGCCATGTCGCAGTGCCACGCTACATCCTCCTTGTGCCATGTCTCATCCTTGTGCCACACCATGTCCTTGTGCTCCACCATGTCCCAGTGCCACACTACATCCTCCTTGTGCCATGTATCGTCCTCGTGCCACACCATGTCCCTGTGCCACGCTGCCATGCCATGTCCTGGCATCCATCGTGTCCTCATGCCACACCCTGTGCTCACACCACGCTGCATCCTCAGGCCTGAGGCTGTCAGGCACCGCTGGCATCGTGTCCCCGTGCCCATGTGTGCTGGAATCCGTGGTGTCCTTGTGCCACCCCACATCCCCCTGCCGTGCTGTGTCCTGGTGCCCGTCGTGTCCTCATGTCACATCCTTGTGCAACACCTGGGGGTTGCCCAGGTGCCTGTCATGGCCTGGTGGCTCTGATTGTGTCCCCATGCCACACCACGTCCTGATGACACCCAGTGCCCTCAAGGTTGTCATGTGCTGGTGCCCGTCATGTCCCCATGCCACACCATGATGCCACGCTGTGCCCTCATGGCTGTCACATCCTGGAATCCATTGTGTCCCCATGCCACACCACATCCTTGTGCCACCCGATGCCCGTTGTGGTTCCCATCGTGT